AACAGAACAGGAAGAATCCTGATGACCACTGGAGTAAAAAAGACAGATCTGTGCTTTAAGGTTGGAGTTATTCAGCAATAAGGCTACATCTTCCAGCACTGCTGGTTGAAACGCTAAATCCAAGATTAAAGGAATTTGAGTATAATATTCTGGTAAGTTTCTCCCTGCACAGCCTTTGAAAATGATCATTTGTACACAAGTCTCAGGTTGTAGAATCTATAGTATTACTTCTTATCCCTCTATCCAACTGGCTCCTTACTTGTTAGACTCACATCTTCAAAGGAAGAAAGCTCCTAATACTATAAACCTAAAAGTGTCTTCAACTTCCAATTACCTCTCATTATTTGTTTCTTCAAAATAGTAGAAATATAATTAGAGATTTTCTGTTTCTTGTATTTATAAATATAAAGCTTACCTTATTAATATTCAAACAAGATAAACTATCTAGTCAGTTCTTTCCAACAGAACTTCCCATGATGATGAAAACATTCTAGATCTTTTTTTAAAAAAGATTTGTTTCTATTTATTTAGGCATACAAGAACTGGGGTGCAGGCCAGAGGTACAGGGAGCAGGGTGAGAGGAGTGGGGAGCAGAACAGGCAGATCTACTGAAATACACTGTTGAGGCAGGCAGCGGGCGAAACAGAAGAGGTTTGTTGTGCCATGTGGGTCAGCTCCCTGGCCAGGGATCAAACTCATGCTGCAGTGGTTGGCTCAAGCCGCAGTGGCTGGTGGTAGCTTAACAGTGCTGAGACTTAACCCCTGCACCACCAGAGAGGACCTGTTCTGGATCTTAACTGTCCAATACAGTAGCCACTAGCTAAATGTGACTGCAGGCTTTTGAAATGTGTGTACTGCAAATATTGAAGTAGAAGATTTTATTTTATTTTATTTTATTTTATTTTATTTTATTTTCTATTTAAATAACCACAAGTGGCTAGCAGCAGAATCCTCTGTTTCCATGAGCAGAAACTAACCCTTCAGGAAATGGTATCCTGAATTAAATGGTATGCTATATTCCAGTCAAAGGTCTTGGTTGCACATGCAAGTCAACACTACTTGACTTACATCAAAAAATGTATTTGTAAGTATATAAGGCACTCACAGAATCAACAGAAAGCCTGTAGAATCTAGCTTGAGCTGGAGTAGAGTAGATGCATTGCTAAGATCCTGCCACCAAGGATGGTCCACACAGGATGCCACTGCTGACCCTGACACCACTGGACACTTGCTACCATACTGCAGGATTTGTTACCTTTGGTCACTATCTGCTGACCATTAAACTCTCAGCCCCACAATGGCCACTTCTAATAATCTGAGATCAACTTGTACCATTGTGTCACCTTTTAAAGATCCTGTCAGTCCATGGGGAGTAAATATCTTCCTTCTTTTTGGGTTCACAGTCTCTCCATTTAGGGGCAAGGGATGGGGTTGATGTAGGAAAAACATTACTTTAAAAAAGAGTCCCAACTTTATTTCTCAAGAGATTAACCTTAGTAAAGCCTATAAAGAATGGAAACAGTGATTTGCCAGATAAAAAATTTCTCTTAATTTTTAAAATTTTCTGAATATGGTTTTATTAATCATTAGCCACCAAATTTTAACATAAATTGTATTGTTTTAATATAATTATAATTCATTATAATTATGTATAATTGTTCATAAAGCTATAACTCATAATATATAATTGGTTTGGTTAAGGTAAGGGTTGATGCCATTGAAATCTATGCAAAGGCCTCAAGAGGCACTGCTTGGTGTGAGTCTGCCATCTAGTGGTAGGAGACGATAGTACTATCACAGAGCGCCTAGACAAGGTTTGCCCAGAGACAGTTTTTCCCACTTTTACAATTTTTCCAACGTTTTGACCCAATCAGTTGCACATTCCTTAGGCTTTTGAAATTATCTTCCATTTGCTCCATTCCATTCCAGGTTCTTGTCAACTATACATCTCTGATAGTCAAAGTGTATCTATATATCAATAGTACTACCTCATCCTCACATGCCCTAAACCAATTTCCTTTGCTAAAAATGCTTCTATTTTACATGTGTCCAAAACAACATGTGAATTCAGCATTCTATTATTCTTCTACAGAAAATGCCTCGGCTGCTAATATAAAAGCAAAATTTAACACTAGAGTCATTGATGTCATGAATTCCTCACCACTCCCCCATTCCCACAGTGATTAGCTTAATTTAAGGAAACAATAAAAGAGGATCTACCTGGTTTTGTGCTGAGCACTCTAGTAAAGATGGGATAGTTGTAGGTGAAAGAGTAGATCCAGACCTCAGCTTCTTTCCTTTCAGTCATGTACCATTTGGGAGACAGTTGTTATCAAGCACCACAACCTAATAGCAAAAATCAACACAATCAGTTTCTCATATATCTGAGAGTAACAAAGTTGACCTTATACTTCAATTTGTGGTTTTCAAGATTAATGACTGATAAACTGTAGAGTGGGGACAGCATATAAAATCCAGATGCACTACATTTCCACCAATACCTGGAAAGGATGAAGAAAGTTTTCTTGGGACCTTGATGGGTCCTCTTCTTGGCGACTCCCTCCAAGATGAATCATCTGGCAATCACGCTACTTCCTTCCTTTTATGTTGTCCTCTCTCTCCTTCACTGTGACTGACTCTCTTTTTCATAAATGGCTGTAGAACTACATTTATTACATGAAATTCACAATGTGTTGTAATCATTGAGTACAAATTTGGTGAGTTGAAGCTTCTATACTTCTCCCTAGATGGCAAATCTTGGTGTAGTTTCTTCATTGTCTGTGACACTCAAATTGCTTTGTTGTTGATGTAAAAGCAAAAAAACTCAAAGGTTCTCTATTCCTAAAAACTAAAGTTATCTTTCCACTCTCATCAAAGCCTACTATCTACAGATTGGCTACTCACCAAAGAACTTACATTTGTGTGTGCATGCTTATGCCTGTCTAATTAGAGACTATACAGAGATAAACACTATCATTGTGTGGCCTTAGAGATGATTCTTTCTGAACTAGAACATTTTTTAAGATAATTATATTACTCTTGGAGAACTCAGTAGCAGTAGTGCTCTTAAAATAGCTAAACATAGGTTGCAATTATATCACAACTATTTGTTATTAATATGCACAATTAAATAACATCTTAGATAAGTGATAAAAAGGTGGCCTCCATGTTACACCTAGGTACTCTTCCAAACAGTGAAAGATGTGAAACTGTGCAGCATGCTATTACATTTGCCACCTCAAGAGCCTATAAGACTATCAGAAGAGAAGCAGAACCCGGGTATTGTATAATCTACTGTCAATAGAGGCACAATTTGCACTATCTCCAACTGTTCCCAGGGTGGGAAATTTGACTCCTTCCTTTTCATTCCTTAATAGACTTCAGTGACCTTCAATCACAGATTTGCTCATCTTAATGGCCACAGTGCAGTCCTGGTAAGGATGTTTATTTCTTGTTTTTCATCTCCTCTGATTGAGAGTATCAGGTTCCTGAGAAAAATGAGGGAGTCTGGGGAAGTTATGTTTTTATGCCAATCTACCCTACGTGATAGCCAATAAAATGTCATATAAGGTGTTGCACCAAAATAAAGTGAGTCCCTGGGACACAAATGTTCCCATCTCAATTATTTAAAGTCCCAACAAGAAACCTGCCTAGCATTTTCTCTACATTGTTGAGTAGAAGTGTAAAGAGATTTGCTCTGCGTGTGTGTGTGTGTGTGTGTGTGTACTATAGTCGCTATTTCAGGAGAGAAGATTTGCTTGCTGTTTAATCCAGTCACAGAAAGATAATCGCAAAGACACAAGAGCTTCTTTGCCCTGTAATTTGACAGAATTCATGCAGCTCGGTACTTTTTTTTTTTTTTACTTCTATATTATCTTTTCATTCTTCAAAAGAATATGAAGTAATTTCATTCAATATGGTATTCTGGATGGTGTGTGTGTGGAGGTATAAAATTGTGCCCACTATACATGTGCAATCCAGATACACTACATTTATTCTGGTGTTGCTGTGAGGTATCAGGTGGGTCCATAATCAGATAAATGGGGGAGAGGGAGAGGGAACAAACAATTTCAGAAGCATACGTATTTTTTTCCGTTTCATCCATCAAAAAAGGAGGGTTTTGGTCTAACTACTTTTAGGATCCCTTCCAGGATTTTTAGCAACCGCTTTAGAACCAACTATATGCTAAGTTTAGACGCGCCACCACAAAAGAAAATACTGTAGTGAAGAATGAGCAGGGAAAACAGCCGAAGGAAGGAGGCCCCAGAACCTCAGCAGGGGGCGGGGCCCGCGGTTACTCTCCTAATCACTAAAAAAAGTCACAAAACAGTTCAAAGGCTCAGAGCAAAGTGTTTGGGTTTCTAACTCTGGCGGGTTCTAGATTCTCAACCAAAAGTGCTTTTGCCTTACTCCACACTCCCTCTCCGCGCCAGCAGAGCTTCCACACCCCTCGGGCGGTGCATTCTCGCGCCCCCCTCGCCCCCACCCCCTCCCCACCACCCCCAAAGTCCTTAGCGTAAAGTCAGCACCTTCCCTGCCCAAGCACAGTCCCACGGGTCTGGAGAGCTCGCCCCGCAGCCGCCCTCCGCCTGTTTATCGCGACCTACAAGTCCAAGCGAGAATTTTCCAAGTCGGGGACACGACCGTGGCCTGGGCGCCCACACTTTCTAGCAGGGCCTCGCCCGGGGCCGGGGAGGGCGCCCCCCGCCCTAGACCCGCGGCGGGGCGCTCCCGGGCACCTCCCCTCCCCCGCGCATCTCCGCCAAAGTGCGGCGGCTCCAGCTCCCCAACCGGCCGCCCATGCCCCAGACCCGACACCCCGAGAGAGCGCAGCCGACGGCCCTGTGCCCCCCGCCTCCCCGGGTTGACCCAGAATCCAGGGCCAACCCGGGAGGCAGAGGCTCCAGGTGGGCACCTCGACTCCCACCTCGGGTGCCCCTGAGGTGCCCGGCAGCGAGGGCGCGCGGGGCCCCGGGGCGCACCCGAGACCCCCCCAGATTCCCCAAAGCCCGCGGGAGGGCGCGGCGGGCCGCGCGGGGGAGGCGGCCGGGGCTGACAAGGGGTGAAGGGGGGGACCGGGCGGAGGCGGGGCGGAGGCTCCCGCCTCCCCCTCGCCGTCCTCCTCGCGGTCCTCCTCCGCGCCCTCCTCTCGCAGACGCCGCCTCCACGGGCCGGAGCCGGGGTCCGCGGCGCTGACTCGGGGCGGCGGGATGGGGACTTAGCGCCACGGCGGCGGCAGTGGCCGCAGCGAGACCGGCCGCCGCCCCCGGGCCCGTCCCGCCGGGGGTGCCGGGCGCGGCCAGCCCGCCCCGGAGCCAGGCCCGCGGGCGGCGGCGGCGGCGGGGCTGGGCAGGTGGCTGCGGCTGGAAGATGGCGCCCTCGGGCCCGGGCAGCGTCAGGCGGCGGTGCCGGCGGGTGCTGTACTGGATCCCGGTGGTGTTCATCAGCCTCCTGCTCGGCTGGTCCTACTACGCCTACGCCATCCAGCTGTGCATAGGTGAGTGCCCGCCGGGGCGCGCGCCCGCCGGCCTCCGCCTCGCCCACCCCGCGGGGGCCCCCGCCGGCCGTCCCGGGACGCGCGGACCCGGGGCGCACGCCGCGCGCGCCCTCCCGCCCCGCCCGGAGACCCCCTCGCGCCCCCTCGCGCCCCCTCGCGCCCCCTCGCGCCCTCCTCGCGCCCCCGGACGCTGCCAGCCCGCGGCGTCTCCGCGGCCGAAAGCAGCCTCGGGCACTCCTGGCGCGCGCACTGCCCCTGCCTGCCCCCCGCAACTCTGGGCTACGGTGACACCCCCCCCCAAGTCGCCCCCCTTCAGCACACGCGCGCGCGCTCGCGGCCGAGACACCCTCTCCGCCGTGGGCTAGTCGCCGCCGCCCCAACCACACCCCCTACCTCGGCCGGAGCGCCGGGGAGCGCCGGGTCTGCGCTGCCCGAGCCCCCGCGCGGCCCGGAGGCCCGGACGGCTGCGCTGGAGGCTGGAGGGCTCCACGCCGGGCCCGGGAGCGGCGCTGCGCCAGCCCCGCGCTGGGGGTGGTGGCCGTGGTCCCCGGGGGCCGGGATCTCCTTTCCTGGTTGTCTTTAATCCACTTTTTAAAAATGTGTGACAGCGCGCAGGAGCCTTTTTGCTGCCTTTATAATTTGAGGATTGCCAGTTGGACACTTTCTAGTTAAAGGGAGGTGGGGGAGGGGTGAGCTACTAGAAAGTGTTTTCCAAGACCTGTGCAATCCGCAGGGCCATAATTTAGGTATTAAAACAATGGGGGCGAGGGTGGAGGGGCAGAGATGACCATCCGAGGTTTTTCATCCAGAGTGCCAAGTGGCTTAAGTCCAGGTTTTAGCGTCCTGAACTGGTGGGTAGGATACTTCCAATGCTGAAAGCTTACCCCCTCCCCCCCAAAAAAAAAGTTGATTATGCACTATTAGAGAATATAATAGTGCCCCTTGCTGTAAGCAGGCGTTTATCTTCAAAGGTATTGTGAAAGCTAATCAGTGTTATCAGAAACGATGAGCCACCTTTCTGCTAGTGATGGGTGCTTGTGTTTGGTGTTTACTGTTCCACCTAAGAAAGGGGTTAGTTTTTCCCCTGCCAGGCACTAGCCTTGGGTGGGACAAAGAGAAGGTGAAATAGTGGCCTGTTTAGTTGAATTTTCTCAACTTAAGCATTTTTCAGAGCTTCAAGATTCAGACACACAATCTGGTCTAAAACCATCTAACCTTAAATTGTTGTCCCCTGTGAGAAATATTAGGAGTCAGAATAATATACCAAAATAAGTGCTTTTCATTAAAATATACTTTTAAGAGAACTCACACTAGCTTCCCATTTCGAATGGTTTTAACATTTGCTATTGTTACTTTTTATTGAATTTAGAGATAACATTTCAGTACAAGTGAAGTGAGTCTGTTTTTAAAATAGGATTGGTTGTATTGAAATCTTTCGGACAGTGCCTGTCAACATGTGATATTCTAAATGGTATGGAGAAAAAGTTTTCAGAAAGGTGATTTGTATTAATTGTTAATAATAAATACTAAGAAAGCTTGCCTTGTTCAGATATACCTTATATGTTACATAACTATTAGAACCTTTGTTGTGTCTCATTTCTTTACCCTCTTAAAATCAGGCAATAGTTTCACTTAATGTACTGTTGCAAAAGGAGGCTATAAGACTTCTTGACTACCAAAACAAGCAGCTTATTCTCCCATATTATCACATTAAACTAAGATGCTTAGCCTGATGCGGTGTCTCACGACCATCAGAAGGAAGCATGTGAAGGCAGGAAGAGCTTTTCATCCCTTATAAGTACCTCTGTCTCTAGCTGAGGGCCTCTGTGGATAGGGTGGACAGGTGAGGGGGGAGGTAAAAATGGAAAATGGCTGTTTTATCTGGATCATGTTTTTATACTTACTTTCTTCAAGTTTAAGATAAACCTAACCTACCCATGAAATCCGCATCACTATTTTAATAATTAAAAATTTGACTAAGAGAGAGAATGCCTAAGTGACATGACCTGTTATTGATATTTTTACCTGGTGTTCGAAAGTGAAGTTTCATATCCCTTATTGCCACTGCCTACTTGGCCCGGCACAATATCCATCATGTTGAAAGCAGTCAATAAATGGTCTGGAATAAACAAATAAATGATTCAGAGGCAACGCTGCCTCAGAGGTTGTCAGAAAGTAGTTTTCATATTTTTATTGCTATAGAAACAAAGAGTCTAGAAGAGAGAACAAGTTGAAAATGAATTTGATTCTACAAATAATTGCACTTTAAGAATGGTAGGCTCTAAAAGCTTGGATAGCTTTGGTTAGGTGTGAAGTTGGAATTAATTATACAGTTCCTTTATGGGTACTGGGGAAAAATGGCGACTAGTGTGACAGACACACAAGGACAGCATTCTCTCCTTTTCACAAGCAAAGCAAATGGGAATGCCAAACTTCCTTCCCCACTTCTCCACTCCCCTGTACCCCCACCCTGCATTAACCTCAGACTAACCTTTGTGGATTATTTTTCTCTTGGAAGTTACTGCTTAAAATCAGATTTACCAAATTTCACCTTTAGATCAGTGGCCAGGACTGGGAGTGGAAGGTGGAGGGTGAAGGTCGGGGGCTGGGACCTGGAGCAGGTAACAAGTAGAATAGAACAAACAGGGTGATTTACCCTGGTCGTCCTCCTACATCTGCTGTCGGCTGGGTATGACCCTGAATATAAATTACTCTGTGCCCTTTGCTGAATGAACTGCAATTTAGGAGTAGTGCTTATCCTGGTATCCTTGGAAACTGGCGATAATGATTCTCATTACAGTTAGTTTCTATATTTAACAACATGGATGTGTGTGGCTCTCTAGGCACTTTTTCTCTTAGCATAATGTTTGCTTAGTGTTTGTATCTTACAAAAATAAACTCATCTTTTTGGAATATGTGCATCTATAAAATATATGGGCTGTACAGCTATTGTATGAGAGTCAAGATTCCTTTCTATACCACGAAAGAAAAGATAAAATAGGAATGCTAGTCCTTGTGATCATTCAGAACATGTTTATCTAGTTTGTTGATTAAGTAGGCTCTTCTTCATATTTCTTCCCCTCTTTCCTTCTCTCTTTTCCTAGCTTCTTTTGTCTCTCATTTTCCATAAAGTAAGACAAATGCAAAGGGTAAAATTGGTAAGGTCGTGCTTGCTGGTACAGAGTTGCAGTAAGGGTAGTCTTGCTGGCTCTGGGCATGCTTGAATCAGTGAATACACTAGACACATTCATGTTTTACAGTCCTTTACAAGAGTTATTGTGGTGTCTGTTGCTTGTTGAAGAGAATAACAGATTTTTCCTTTTCAGTGCTAATAATTAAAAATTTAAAACTTTTCCTACCTTTTGTTAAAACTTCAAATGGGCAAAGTTTCAAGAATGATAGTACAAGAAATACCCTTGTTCAACCATTTTGGCTTTCATCTTTCTAACATGTTTTACTTCCCTTCTCTCACCTTAGGCTGGGCTAGGATACATTTGCTATTAATTTGTATATTCATACACTTCTGAATTTGCTAATTACTTAAGTCATTTTAAGCAATATGAAGATTGAAAAGTTTGGAGATGACCTAGGCCAACCCCTTCGACCATTTGAAGCTACATGTTCCTGAGTTAGTATAAGTGCTACATCCTTTCTCCAGATTACCCAGTGAAATTGCTGGCTACGACTTCAGCAGTTGTGCAAATGTTAAAATGTCTTCCTTTTCCTCCGAACCCAACACCAAATCTCTTTAAACTAATAAAGATGTATTTAGCAAGTCTCTTAAACTTTCTTGTTTAATTAGAGTTAACATAACTCTGAACAGAGTGAACCCGCAGTCTCCACGTAATGATTTCATAGCTTTAGAAGAATCTCTAGTTTGGGCCAGATAGTAAACTAAGTACCTTTGGCTTTGCAGGCTCTATGGTATCTGCTTAAATCTGCTATTGTAGCACAAAACAGCCTTAGACAGTACTGTAACAAATGGGCATGACTGTGTTTCATTAAAGCTTTATTTAGAAAAAGTTGGAGGGCCTGAACTTGACCTTTCAGCAGTAGTTTGCTTATCCTTGGAATATGTTAGATGTTAGCCAATTAGAGTATTGGGGCTTGACAGTTTATATTAATACATATTTCAAAAATGACTGTATCCTCTTATATTCCACAGTGATTATATTGATGATGTTCAATAATTAAGTGAATTAATCTACATTCTTAGATATCAGTTTGGGAGATATATAGTCATATTTTCCTTCTTTTAAACAAACATTCTTAGCAATAAGATATATGAAACCTGTACTTGAACACTGTAAAACTCTGACCTCCCATTAATTTAAGCCCATTGCAAGCTCAAGTATGGAGACTGAATGGGATTCTAATTTGCCTTCCGTCATGAAATGAGTTTGAGTCACACAGTGAAAGAAATGTGTACTTGCTTTTTGGTAAACTATCATTTAAAAAATTAGGTAACACATTAAAGCTTTTTTAGAAAAAAAAACAACACAGGTGACCTTGGGAATACAAGTGTTACTATCTAGAATTATTGAACTAGTGTTAAATGAGATAGAAGGCTCATCTATAGAAAACTGATGACTGTAAAACTTGCAGTGTCTAACTCAGAAATTATTTCTTGTTTTGTGACTTCTTGATATCATAATTTGAAGATTTGAAATGTGAATAGAGGGATTAAAATCATGTCTTCAAATCTAAAAATTCAAATATTCAAAATAAAATATGATATACTCCAAATTCTTTATGCTGCCCTTTGCCTTTAGTGTAAATGGTCCCTGGTAAAGTAAGAGATAATAAGACTCTGCCTTGTGCTTTTTTGCTTCCATTTAGTGTTTCAGAGAATTATTTTTCTCTTGATGTATTGAAAAATGCAGCGTTACTGTTTGCTAATATGTCCTATTAGAGATACCATTAACAAAGCAATTATCAGAATGCTTAGCATGTACAGGTGCTCTGTAATTGTTGAATGAATTGGTTTCATTGTGATTTTT